TCTCTCTCTCTCTCTCTCTCTCTCTCTCTCTCTCTCTCTCTCTCTCTCTCTCTCTCTCTCTCTCTCCCCCCCCTGGGCACCAGCGGCGGGCGCCACGTTGAAACAGCCGCTTTGAAACTGCTTGGGCCTGTCCGAAACCCGCCAACTCAAAAACCTGCAGTGTCTTGTGTCTGGACCTCTAGGCCATGTCCGGTGGGGTGAAAGGACACTTAAAAATCATCCTGTTATTTTTCGAGGGGCGGCTAGGACCCGACAAACGTCCTGGGCCGCCCCATTTTTTTTTTTGATTTTTGCCCCAGGGGCCTCCATCCAGACATGGGGACCGGACACCGGACACCGGACACCGGACTGTCTGGAACCCGGTCCGGACGTCCGGGCGGTTACCATGGTTTGATGCAAGAATGAAAAAAAAAACTTTCCAAGTTTCCAACCAAAAGCCGTGTGAAAACTGCAGACACACATACAATTTTTCTCACCTAACGCTTGGGGGGAGTCTCACCAAACCTCTGCACCATCCTTCCTGTACACAGCATTTTTAGCCCACAAGACTAAACTCCATCCAACAGGATATGGTGCACTCACGAGTTGATATTCATTTGAAGCCCACAAGACTTTCGTTCCAGTGTCATGTTGAGGCTGCACCACTTATGAACCTGGCCGCGATTCTTGGAAATAGGCTATCACAGTGTTAGGATTTCTTAGGAGATAAGATTTTAAAAGGAGCGGTGCTACTCGGGAGAGATGGAATGAAGAACTAAAATAGAAATTGGCTATGGTGGTTAGTTGTTGGAGGTTATTACTAACTTATTCGAGCTATACGGGAGCAAAGCAAACACTTACCTTGCTGGGAGTTGACGGCTGCGGTCCTCAGGCGCACAGGACATAAGTCACATAACCCTTTTGATCTCGAAAAGGGTGGTGGGGCCCTAACATCATGGAATTGAACATAGGCAGGGCTGAGGGGTGGTACATCCTTCCCAAAAAGGAAGTAATCAATGCCGTCCACTCGGGTCTCCCGAGTCCCAACCATAATGGGGAGGAGCGTGCGTGATTTCTTATTGTATCCATCATTGACTTGCCGGGGGAACAGGAACCGGACTGTCGCTCGCCAGAATGGAAGGAGCCAGAACTGAGAGGTTTTGTTTGTTTGTTTGTTCGTTTGTTTGTTTGTTTGTTTGTTTGTTTGTTTGTTTGTTTGTTTGTTTTGTTGGTTTTGTTTGTTTGTTTGTTTGTTTGTCTGTTGTGTGTGTGTGTGTGTGTGTTTTAATCATGGAATTGAACAGGATTTGAACTCTTAATGTGCAAATCAATGGTTCAACATGGTAGCATCCAGCTACAATGACGATGCAGAGAGCGGGGATCGTCAACTTTGACTGTACGGTAGTGATTTTTTTTTGGGGCGGAGTTTGTAGGAGGGAGAACATAGTGAGATGTGGGTAGGAGCTCCCATGCAAATTTTCTCAGAAGTCACATAATCATCTTCTGAGAGTCGACTTCAACAACCCTGATAATGAATTTCAACCTCGTTACACTTATCAAGACGACGATGTATAGGCATGAATGATGCATTCTATGGACGAATATTGACCATCGATTGCACCTACAATGGCTCCAAACCCACAAAGTATCGTAGATCTCCTCCCTACCTTGTTCATGGGGAAACCAGTCCCTGGCCAGACCAACTAACAATTAACTACCAACAAAGGAGAGAAAAGTTGCCTGTTGCTCTAAAATGAGCAAATTGCCAAATTCTATTACTCTACATTTTTTTTGCTGCGTTTTCTGATGACCCCGAATATCAGCCCTTTCTTTATTTTTATTTTTATTTTTTTTTAATTTTAAACGGGCCCAGTGCCCAAGGCGGATATTACCAATAAGAAGATTGAGGCCAATATCAGCCCTTCCTTTAGTTTCAAGTTTCAACAAGGTTTGAAATTCAGACTCTCGCATAACTGACGGACGCTGCATGCATGCTATGTCAACCCCCATCCCCAGCCCACACACTGTCAAGCTTGTCAACAACATCATTATGGACAGCAAACTCTCAAACTCTCAAACAAATTGTTGCTCTGCGAGGTTGAACTGACGAGAGTAGCGAGGAAAGTTGGAAACACAGTCGTTGCGGGGATCACGAATCTACCTAATGTCAAATTGTTGGCATCAAACTCAAGCTATAAATTGATGAAAAGGAAGAATGAAGAGCCAGCCTGCCAGGAGAGGATTGTCAAATGTTTCACACTGTCCCTTGATACTGGCCGTGGAATCACAGAGTAAAGCATGACTTGCAAAACAGCTCTCATACCTGGAAAGGCTGGAAGGTTTGGATTCCACACCCGAAGCCAACCAGGCCTTTGCTCCCAGACCTGCTTTAGCCACCAATCCCCTTGCTCAACCTTGTCTTTACTCCCACCATCCTCAATCCTGCCAGACAAGCCAAGACAATTCCCATGAATCTCTCTCTCTCTCTCTCTCTCTCTCTCTCTCTCTCTCTCTCTCTCTCTCTCTCTCTCTCTGTTTATGATTTCGTTTATCGTTGACGGCGCAAG